TAAACCCTATATTCACAAAATAACTTTTAAAAAAAAGAATAAAGTTTAAAGCATATACGAAAATGCCATCGTGAGTCAGGTGGTTGAAACCCCAGGGTCTCATGCATGCTGGACAGGTACTCTACCACTGAGCTATGTCACCAACCCTGAAAAATGTCATAATGAGTCCTGTTTCTTCACATGTTTACTTAGAAATCATTTTGTGTGGCTGGTAAGACACTCAGCAGGTAAAAGTGCTGGCCACACAGGTCTGAGTACTTGAGTTCCACACCTAGGACGTATGGGAGAGCAGATGTCTCCTGGAAGTTGTCCATTAACCGCTATACATACAACATGGCACTGTTACTACCATACTCTCACACACACATATTGCACAGGAAACACACATGTCATACAATTCTTAAAATATTTCAATTAAAACCATAATTCTTTCTTTGTGTGGTATTTAGGCTTAAACCCAAGGCCACATACATGCAAAACAAGTAGTTTTAGCTAGGTTTATACCTGTGCTCCCAATGCGATTGTTAAGTGCCAGTCTCTCTTGGGCTACATAATGAGACCCTATCTCACAAAACTAAATACAAAATGAATGTTCTACAACTGACCCACAGCCCTTAGCATGGGAAGTTAATGAATCTGAACTTTTTTAAAAAAGGTTTACTTATTTATTATGTATACATTGTTCTGTCTGCATGTATGCCTGCAGGCCAGAAGAGGACATCAGATCTTGTTACAAATGGGTGTGAGCCACCATGTGGTTACTGGGAATTGAACTCAGGACCTCTGGAAGAACAACCAGTACTCTTAACCTCTGAACCATCTCTTCAACCCCCTGAACTTTCCTTTAAAACACTTCTCCCTCTTCTCTGCCTGCCAGCTAGCAATTGCTTCCTGAGTACCTCAGTCCTAGCTCCATCTTCTCTAGGACTAACTCTCCATTCCCATCTCCCCTCCTGCCCAGATTTAGTGGTTCAGTTTTGTTTTGTTTTTAAAGGAAATATCTCTATGGGCGGGCGGTGGTGGCACATGCCTTTAATCCCAGCACTTAGGAGGCAGAGGCAGTCGGATCTTTGTGAGTTCCAGGACAGCCTCCAAAGCCACAGAGAAACACTGTCTCAACCCTCCCCCCCACCACACACACAAAAGGAACTATCTCAATGGGGATGGGTGGCTAAGGTCAGATTTCAACTGCTAAAGGAATTTAGTAATTTTGGGAATTTAGTAATTTTAAATTTGCCCAATGTCACAGAGCAAAAAAAGCTCTTGACTAGATAGTTCTGCCTTCTCAATAGGGATCAGACCTACTACAAACATCCCTGCAGCAGCCCTGGGTGGGAATCGTGTCTTTCTTGGTTGTTACACTTGCTTCCCATTGAAAACCGTGATAGAGTCTATGGCTATACTACCCTTGAACATGCGTGTTCTTTTTTTGTTGTTTTATGTTTTTGTTTTTGGATTTGGAGACAGGGTTTCTCTGTGTATCTCTGGTGCATATCCTGCCACTCGCTCTGTAGACCAGGCTGGCCTCGAGCTCGAAGAGATCCGCCTGCCTCTGCCTCCCCAGTGCTGGGACTAAAGGTGTAGACCACCAAGGCCCAGTGAATATGCTTTATTCTTATCGACAAAGCTAAACAGGGTCAGGCCTGGCTGGTGCTTGCATAGGGAAATCATGGAGGCTGTAGATGCAGTTCAGTGGTAAGGAGTGTACGTGTTTAACATGTGATAGATCGATCCTACTTAGTTTCTACTTTTATGGGTGGGAGCTGGAGAGGTGGCTTAGGAATTAAGAAGACTAGCATTCTTCCAGAGGACAGAGGTTCAATTCCTAGCACCTATATCGGGCAATCCATAGCTACAGGAACTCTAATTCCAGGGTATCCAATTCCCTCTTCTGGCCTCTGAAGGCACCAGACACTCATGTGATGCATAAACATGCAGGCAAACACACACACACATAAATAAATCTTTTCGAAAAGTGATTGTGGTAGGGCATTGGTGGCACACACCTTCAGTTCCAGCACTCGGGAGGCAGAGGCGGGCAGATCTCTGTAAGTTTGAGGCCAGGCAGGTCTACAGAGTTAGTTCTAGGACAGGCTCCAAAGCAACACAGAGAAATCCTGTCTCAAAAAACAAAACAAACAAATAAAAAGTGGCTATGGAGCCAGGTAGTGGTGGCGAAAGCCCATGGGTGTTGATGCACGCCTTTAGTCCCAGCACTCAAGAGGCAGAGGCAGGCAGATCTCTGTGAGTTCGAGGGCAGCCTGGTCTACAGAGCGAGTTCTAGGACAACCAGAGCTACACACAGAGAAACCCTGTCTTGACAAACCAAAAAAATAAAGCAATAAAAAGACACTGTCTCAAAGAACCCATCCCCCAAATAAGACCAGCATGTGTTGCTATACTTTTTTCTTGTTGTTGAGACAGGGTTCACATGGCTTGGTTGGTCTCAGACATGCTATATGGTGGATACTGGTCTTGAACTCTTGCTTTTTGTTTTTCTTTTACATTTTTTTCAAAAGATTTTGTATTTAATATATATATATATACACATATATATGTATATATATATTGTTTTGCCTGCATGTGTGTCTGCATGACAGATGAAGGCACCAGCTCTTATTATAGATGGTTGTGTGCCACCATGTGGTGCTGGGAATTGAACTCAGATCCCTTGGAAGAACAGCCAGTGGTCTTAACCTTTGAGTCACCTCTCCAGCCCTACATTTATTTGTTAATTTTGTATTTACAAATGTGCATGCGTGTGACTCTGCCTGTGGCGCCTGCGCTGCTGTAGAAGCCCGAGAAACTGCGGAGGGTGTCAAGGTTAATAACACTGGACTCTTGATATTAAGAAGGCTTTTTATTATATATCCTACTTTACTCTGGGGCTAGAGCTTATATACCCCAGCACCAGATGGAGGAGGGGGAAGCAAAAGGAGGCAGTTAATCATCTCAGGTTCCAAGGACCGGTTAGGGTGCTTTCAGGGCTGTGGGAGCCAAAAGAGCATTAGCATTTTGCATTTGAAAGCATCTCTCCTGTATCCAGGGTTACAGTTGCTAGCCCTGAGGGCAGCAGGAGGGGGAATGAATTCTTAGCCCTTAGCAGAAGTTTGAATTCCTACATGACTCTGTGTGTGTGTGTGTGTGTGTGTGTGTGTGTGTGTAAGAAGATAACTTGTACGTTCTAGGGATTAAAGGTGCCTCAGGTCCTAAGGTGCCTTTATGGGTTGAGACATCTAATAGGCTCATGGTCTTGAATAATCTATCCTCTTGCCTTTTTTTGTTCATCAAGAACTGATCTTATAGATATGTGCCACCACATTTAGCTTGTTATAGTTTTTTGTTTGTTTGTTTTTTTCCAGATAGGATTTCTCTGTGTAGCTCTGTCTTAGAACTCACTCTGTAGACCAGGCTGCCCTCGAGCTCACAGCGATCCACCTGCCTCTGCCTCCCGAGTGCTGGGACTGAAGGCATGAGCCACCAACGCCCAGCTTTGTTACACTTTTTGATATCTGTATGTGTGTGCTTTCATGTATGTGGAGGCTAGAGGTGGATGTTTAATATTTCCTTTTGTAGTTGTAACTTATTGTGTATTTGTGTGTGTATAGGTATTTTGCCTGCATGAATATCTGTGTACTACATGTATGCCTGGTGTCTATGAAGGCCAGGTGTGAGCAGCTGGAGCTGGGGATGTTTGTAAGCAGCCAGTATTAATTGTTGACCCATTGGTTCAGCTGAACCATCTCTCTAGCTCTCAGTTTTGTACTGAGGACAATGCCTTCAATTCCAGAACTCAGAAGGCAGAGGCAGGTGGATGTCGAGTTTGAGGTTTGAGGGTAGCTTGGTCTACAGAGAAATTCCAGGACATCCAGAGTTACAAAAAAAAATTTTTTTTTTCGACAGGGTTTCCCTGTGCAATAGCCCTAATTGTCCTGGAAATCCACCTGCCTCTGTCTCCTGAGTGAGTGCTGGGATTAAAGGCCTGCACTACCCACTCCCGGCTATTGGTGTTTGGGAACTATCTGACAAGGGTCCTAGATCCTCTGGAAGAATGGCAAGCAAGCTTAATCGCTGAGCTGCCACTCTCCAGCCCCCTCAAACAATCTAAAGTTTTGCGATGATATTGTTAAAACAAACAGGTAAATATGAAGAACGAACATTAAAGATAGGGATGAGGGCCTGGCAGTGGTGGCACACACTTTTAATTCCAGCACTCCGGAGGCGGAGGCAGGTGGATCGCTGGTCCACAAAGCTAGTTCCAGGACAGTCAAGGCTGTTTACACAGTAAAACCCTGTCTCAGGGTGTGTGTGTGTGTGTGTGTGGGGTGATGAAGTGTAAAAATGCATAAGAGTATCGTGGCTGGCTGGAATAATCAGGAAAGCTTCCCTATATTAAAAAGGTTTGAAGGCATTGAATGCAGAGACACAAAAACAAGAAGGATACTTGTCTTTAGAGGATGGCAAGCATTTCTGGAGCAGTAAGGAAGAAGCTTGGTAGAGAGAAACCAATATAGGTTTCTGAGTAACTGTAGAGAAAGAGTGGAAAATGCGCTATTTTAAGAGATAAAAAAAATTTCTTCCAGTGCCGCAGTATTAGATGAGGGTGTCTTGACCGCGAGTGTCCACTTGGGGGTGCTGTTTCAAAACAGCGGCCGTCTTGAACTAAGGTGAAAGGAAAGTGCAGCAGGTAGAACGTCAAACAAAGAAAGCGGTCTAACATTTGGACAAATTAACAAAAATAAAGTGATAGGCAAATGCTAACTCTCTTCCTTACTACTGCGTACTCAGCAACTTGGTCTCCGATGGTGCCACAAAACTGAGCCCTACAAATACTCCTGGAGCTCCTACCCCCAAGTCTTCCTTTAGAGACTACTATTCCCAGGGACCCTCGAGGGAGGTCAGGATCCTCCTTCTCTTCCAGGGTGCAAGAGCGGCCCGCCGCACGGCCTTCTGGGATTCGTAGTCTTGCAGTGTCCGTCGGGAGATGTAGTTCCCTTCCCACAATCGGCTGGGCGAGGCGGCGCCGGCGATCAGAGCAGCGCTGGGTGTTCAGGGGCCAAGATGGCGGCGCGCCGGGGACGGAGAGACCGAGTCGCGCCGCCTCCGACTGGGGGCCCGGGTCCTGACCCTGGCGGTGGAGTTCGCGGCGGCGGTTGGGCGAGTCGGAGCCCAGCGCCGTATGGCACCGTGGGCGCCGTGAGCGCGGCGGAGCAGGTGAGAGGGTGGCCGGCGGCCCGCGGCTGGCAGCAAAGCGGCGTGTGCCGGGCGGTGACACGTGGACGCCACAGGGAAGGGAGGAAGCACTTGCGTGCCGATGCTGCGGGAGCTGGGTCGGGCCGAGGGGACCCAAGTGGTGGGCCGCGGGTTCACCCGCAGGGGTAGACGCGCGGCGGCGATCCCTGGGCACGCAGGAGGCACGGAGCCGGGCGTCGCGAACGTGGCCCTTGCGGGGCGGCGGGGACTCGGGATCGAGGTGAGGCTGAGACGCGTTCCCGAGGGTGCCGAGGGGAGCTCCACCAGCTTGGCGCCGTAGTTCCTTTTTCGGAGCACGTGGGGTGTGGGGCTACGATTTTCCCGGGAGAACTTGTCTGCCCCCCCCCCCCGGCGGCGCGGGCGCCCACGTGGGTAGGGCTCGCCGGCGGGGGCGGGAGGGGGCGCGGGGCGCGGGTCCACGTGGGGGCGGGGAAGGGATGTCCACGTGGCTGCTGTCCCAGGCTGTCGGGCATCTAGTATCCGCGCTGGAGCCGCACTGCCGGGAACTGGGTGTGTCTCTGCCGCTCCCGCCATCTCCGGCCTGTGCTGGGGACCTCTGGCCGGGAGGGAGGTAGGGGCTGCTGGAGGCAACTTTTCTCAGAGCCTCGGAGGCGTTTATGCCCTGTGGCAATGGGTCCACAACGCCTTGCGTCGGGAGATGGTGGACTTTCCAGATGTTCTCAAAGGCGGCTTTCTAGAAATGTCAGGGTGTGAGGTGAGGGTTAGAGGGTCGAAGCTGAAGGGTTGTGGAGGATGATGAGCTCGTGGAGGCTTCTGTCTGACCGGCTTGGAGTGGGTTATGAGTCACAAGACCCTGGCGTTTTTGGTTGCCTGAAGTCCTTCATATGTGAATGAAGGGTCATGGGAATGTCAGCTTAACCTGGGACTAGCTTAATTCTTCCCATCACTCTTTCTTTAGCGTATCTTTGGGAGGAGATAGTTAAGGGGTGCCACGGTGGACTCGTAAATACAACTGTTTGTGAGTTGTGTCTGTGTGAGCTTTCTGATATTTTTGATGGAGTTAAGAAAAGTAGGAGATGGTTTGGAAACTACTCAACGTTGGCTGAATATTTAATGGTTCAGGAGGAATTCTTTGTGCTGAAATCGTGTGTGTGTGTGTGTGTGTGTGTGTGTCCTTCAGTTCTCCTTACTTAAAAGTGTCTGTTATCCTATTGCCCGTTGCTGGGATTCCGAAAATGCTCAGCCACATTAGCAGTGAGTGAGCAGGAATTACTTGGGTTCTTGAAGCAATTTAAGCAGAGTTCTTGACAGCAACCCCGCCCCCACAAAGTGAAAGTTGGGTTGTAGGCTTCCCAGGAATCTAGGTTCGATAGAACACTCTGGGGGTAATGGCTTTGGGACCGGGTACCCTTTTCCTCCACCTTACACGAGGTCACAGAACCACCTGGGGGAAACAGTGGGGGTCCAAGATCCAGCTCCAGTGTGCTAGATGCTTAGTCAGTCCAGCAATTATCATCCAGGTGCCATAAGTTTGAGTACTTATTTGTGTGCGAAACCACACAAATGAGATCCGTGCAATGTCTTAGGATAGACAGATAATGAATAATGGTGAGGCAGGAGGAACGTGTAGGCTATTTAGGATTGTATAGTCATCAGTAGTAATATAATTTGAAGAGTCTATGAATGGAAGAGACATTTTAAATTGAACACCCCCCCCCCGGAACTGTATAAAAAACTTTATCAAAGGGAATATCATGTGAGGGACAAAGGTATGGCTTATGAGAAGAACTGAGAGGCCGGCCTCACAGAAGGGTGGAATGGGAGAGACCAAGCTGGCAAAAAGGCTGGCTGGAGACCATTATAAGGAGTTAAAATCCATTGCTAAGAGTAGTAAGATACCATTGAAGGGTTTGTTTGTTTGTTTTGGTTTTGGAGACAGGGATTCTTTGTATAGACCAGGCTGTCCTTGAACTCAGACCTCAGCCTGCCTACATCTCTGGGATGCTGAGATTAGAATAAGGCAGCACCCCTTCCCCGTACCTTTTGAAGGGACTGAAGATGGTCCTAGGAATGGCCTGTTTTTGTTGTTGCTCTGGCTCAACTAGCTCCATACTTTAAAATATCTAGAAAAGTCTCTGGGCTGAGCTTAGAAGTAGGAGAATCAAGAGTTTATCCACACCATTCTCAAACTCAGGAGACAGAGGCTGGCTGATCTCTGGTTCAGGACCATCCTGGTCTACAAAGTTGAGTTCCAGAACAGGCAGAGCTGTTAACCAGACAAACCCTGTGTGTGTGTGTGTGTGTGTGTGTGTGTGTGTGTGTGTGTGTGTGTGTGTGTGTGTGTTAAGGATAGTCTTTGTTACATAGCAAGTGCAAGACCAGCCTGGGCTACATGAGTTGGGTTTTTTTTCTTTTTTTTCTTTTTTTTTTTTTTTTTTTTTTTTTTTTTTCTTCTCAAAAAACTCAAGTTAAAGTTGGCTTTGAATTCTGGATGAGCAAACTTGATGTGAAAAAGCCAGCTGAGAGGCTGTTGGTGTTTGGAGCGCTAGTGCCCAGCTCATGTTTGGCTTGGACTTAGCTTTCCATGATCTGGACCACCTGGTTGTCTTACCTGGGGATGGAGAAGTGTAGGGATGAAGTCGTGTAAAGGAAACAGATGTCTCTGTCTTAGCCTCCAGCATCTGCCGAGAGGAGGTAAGAGACAGACGATGGTTTATAGTGCCAGACCGGTCTGGCCTAGTGGCCTGGGCTGTAGAAGGGAGGAGGCAGGGTAGCTAGAGATGCCGGTTACTTGCTCACCTATGACTGTTTGCTGAGCCAGGCACTATTCAGCTTCTGGTTATAATTACAGGATTGTGAAGACCTTGGTGGGCGGGGTTAGTTCCTAAAACCTCCTCCCTTTCACTCTAGCTCTGGGCCTAGGCTCTTCAGGTGTCCTAAACCAGCCTTTCCTCCCTGGACCCTGCAACTCCACCTTTGTAGAGAGGATTGGGCATGTGAAGGGGTATGGTCACACCTGTTGCTGTTTTCATTTGGAGGAGTCCAAGTGCCACATCTCTCTTTGCTGCAGAAGGGCGCCTGTTCGTCTCTTCTCGGCCTTTACACCATACTTCAAAGAGCAGATACGCATAGCTGGGCCTCTGGTCTCAGTTCCATTCTGGGCCTTGCCCATGCCCTGCCTATGACACTTGACAGGTCTGGGCGGGTCCTGCTTCATGACAAAGCTGAAGATACTGCTAGTTCACAGGCGGGGGCCTCCCCATCTGTGGAATCATGTCTTTTCAGCTCCCATTGGTAGGAGTGGTGAAGAGACTTCCCTTAGAACTACCATTGACATATTATGGCTCACTGAGTCTTAAGAGTCCAGCACCAAAGAACAGGGAGTGTGGATCTTGTATATAAGACATTGTAAGGTGCCAGGTATTGGTGGTGCACGCCTTTAATCCCAGCTCTCAGGATGCAGAGGCAGGTGGATTTCTGTGAGTTCGAGGCCAGCCTGGTGTACAGAGCTAGTTCCAGGACAGGCTCCAAAACAATACAAAGAAACCCTATCTCGGAAAAACCAACCAACCAAACAAACAAAACCCAAATTCCTCTGATGCACAGAGGAATATAAATGAATACTTGCATAGAGTCTTAAGTAGTATTTGTACCAAAGGAATTGAAATCTATTTTTTCTCTTTTAAAAAGTAATTTGTTGGGGGGCAAGGGAGGATGGGAGAGGGAGGGAACTGGGATCAATGTGTAAAATAAGAAAAAAAATTTATGCAGAGAAACCCTGTCTCAAGAAACCAAAACAAGTTATTTTGTCTTGTGTTTTTGAGACAATCTCACTGTGTAGTTCTGATTAGCCCAACATGTGCCATGTTGATCAGGCTGGCCTTGAGATCTGCCTGCTTCTGCCTTCCAAGTGCTGGGATTAAGGGCTCATAACTTTATTTATTTGTTTGTTTATTTGTTTATTTATTTATTGAGACAGAGTTTTTCTGTGTTGTCCTAGCTTTCCTGGAACTTGCTTTGTAAGCCATACTGGTCTCAAACTCACAGAGATCCATCCTCCTGCCTCTGCCTCCCGAGTGCTGGGATAAGGTGAGCACCACCATCATCCAGTGTATTACTGGTTTTGTTCCACCACATTTACTGGTTTGTTGGGATGAAAGGCATAAACATTACATTGGTTTGTTTGGTGTGAGGATTTGGGCCCCTTGTGTTCCACTGGGCATATGAAAGACTACAGCTCTGAAGAATCAGTTCTGTCTATCTGGTGTGTGTTCAGAGGACTGGACTGAGAAGCTGAGCCACCTCCATGGCCCAGGGCTTTGTTAGGGATTTGACAGGATAGGCAGGATAACTGTCAGGAAGTTGACAGGTTTGGAAAAGTATTTGATCTGGTGTGGGGATCAGCATGGGCTAGGGAAGCCCAAAGAAGTCTTCTTGAAAGGGTTAGAGCTCAGTACAGAACCGAGGCCTAAAGGGGGACCTGGGGTGGGTCATAAATCTCCTGACTGGCCTTTTTCTTTGGTATTCCTTAAAGGACAGTGGTGGTGGTGGTGCACACATTTAATCCAAGCACTCAGGAGGCAGAGACAGCAGATCTTTGAGTTCGAGGCCAGCCTGGTCCTATAGTTCCAGGACAGCTAAAGCTACACAGAGAAACCTTATCTGGAAAAACCAAAGAAACCCCAAACCAACCAAATATGTATTTCCCCTTTGAGACAGGATTTCTTAAATAACCCAGGCTGGTCTGAACTCAAAGCAAGCCTTCTGCCTCCAGTGTTCGTGTTACACGTGTATGCTACCAAACACTGTGGAGGCAGAGGCAGGTGTATCTTTGAGTTTGAGGCCCGCCTGGTCTTTAGAATGAATTCTGAAAAGCAAGGACTATGTAGAGAAACTCTGTGTCCAAACCCCCCCCCCCAAAAAAAAACCAAACCTTTAGTATCACTATCATCATAGTGTATGTGCAGTTATGTTTCTTTGAGCGTGGGTGAACATGTCCTCTGGAGTACATGTGGGTAAGTGAGAGGACAGCTTTGTGGTGGACTTGGTTCTCTCCTATACTTATCGAGCATTGGGCATTCAACTTGGCTTATCAGGCTTTTGAAGTAAGTACTTCTACCTGATGCTCTGACTCCCCAGTTTGATAATGTCTTATGGCTCTAGCTGTTTGTGGGTGAAGTCTGAACTCTGTTGTGCCCAGATCACTGCCATTCTAGTTGGTGCTTTTGTAATGGCTTATACATCTTTGCTAGCTAGTCCAGACCTCAGACCATTGAGGCAATGCTGTTGTTCAAGCCCATGGGTAGAGGATTGGATGCCTGATTTTAACAGAGTTACTAATTAGCTGCCCTCCAAGGACTTGTGTTTCTGACTCACTCTCCTTTTGCCTCAGGTCCATGAGGAGGGGGATGACTCTAGCTTTGTCAATCTTTCTCGACTGGGCCCATCCTTGAGGGATAAAGACCTGGAAATGGAGGAGCTGATAATGCAGGATGAGGCACTACTAGGGACCATGCAGAGCTACATGGATGCTTCCCTCATCTCCCTCATTGAGGATTTTGGGAGTCTTGGAGAGGTGAGCTGGGACAGGGTTTGCAGTTCTTCAGACAGGGTCTTTGCATGGGGTGTTCTGTCTCAATTCTTTGAAGTTGTTTTAGACATGGCTTTTTTCTCCCAGACCCTTGGCCTATTGGATGCCCAGCCTGAGTCTTTGAAAGATGTTTTTTTGTGTATGGGTAGAGTTAGACTGTAGAATGTTCGATTGGCTCATGACGGGATGACTTTAGTTTGGGCTGTGCTCGAGCTTATCTCTTCTCAGGGTTTTTGACCTACATGTCCAGGAGGTTCTGGTCTCTGCTTTTGAGCCTAATACTGGTCTAGGCCAGGATGATTTTCTAAGCATCTTGCATTTTTCTTGAATGTGTAAGAGTGAAATAAAATGCAACTAAGACTCATTCTAACAGGTCAGTTAGCACTAGCGGGTGGGTGGGTAGTAAAAGATGGAACCCTATGGTACCTGGCACTCAGACCCTTCTTGTTGGGAGACTAATTCTCTTAGTGTCTAGCTCTTTTTATGGCTTAGTAGGTTATTAGAGATCTTGAGGGTCCTCTTGTCTTTCTGGAGCAGAGCAGGTTATCAATGGAGGACCAGAATGAAATGTCGCTGCTCACAGCTCTGACAGAGATCTTGGACAACGCAGATTCTGAGAACCTGTCCCCATTTGACAGCATTCCTGATTCAGAGCTGCTTGTATCTCCTCGGGAGAGCTCCTCTGTGAGTATGGGAGTGTGGGGGGTGAGTATAGAAGTCACAGCCACATCTGTGAGCCTGTTCATATAACCACACAAACTGATTGAGGGGTTTTTTCTTCTTAGCTTCACAAGCTACTCACTCTCTCTCGGACACCCCCAGAACGTGACCTCATCACCCCAGTTGACCCTTTGGGGCCTAGCACAGGCAGTAGCAGGGTGAGTATGATGAGCCAGACCTGGGAACCCTTATGAACTCAGTTTGGGGGAGGACATTGGGATAGTCTGGAAAGCATGTCTTGGGGAACACCCTCCGAATCTTCTCTTGTCTCCTGCAGGTTGAGATGTCCCTTTCAGATTCTCCTTGGGACATCCCTCCACCTTTCTTGGAAACTTCTTCCCCTAAACTGCCTAGTTGGAGACCCTCAAGGTCAAGACCTCGATGGGGTCAGTCCCCTCCCCCCCAGCAGCGCAGTGATGGAGAAGAGGAGGAGGAGGTCGCCAGCTTCAGCGGTCAGATGCTTGCTGGAGAACTGGACAACTCTGTCAACAGCTTGGACTTCCCCATGCACTTGGCATGCCCAGAGGAAGAAGACAACCCAACATCAGCAAAGGTGGCAGCGTCGGCACCCGGGGATGAGAGCATCTCCTCCTTGAGTGAGCTGGTCCGCGCCATGCATCCATACTGCTTGCCCAACCTCACCCACTTGGCATCACTTGAGGATGAACTTCAGGAACAGGCTGATGATTTAACCCTGCCCGAGGGTTGTGTGGTACTGGAAATAGTGGGCCAGGCCGCCACAGCTGGTGATGACCTGGAGATCCCGGTTGTGGTGAGGCAGATTCCTTCTGGGTCCCAGTCTGTGCTCTTGGATGAGACTGCAGAGACCAGTAGTGCCCTGCAGCTACTCATGCCCGCCATGGAGGCTGAAACGGAAGCTGTTGTGCCTAAGGTTGCCCCTTGCCCTGATCAAGAATTATCATTGAACCCTGCCTGCTTATTGGAGCCCAGGGAAATCACGGAGTCACTGGCACCCAGGGTCCCTCAGAGCCCACCTTCCAATTCGATTCCGGGATCTCAGAGAGTTCCCAGGAAGGGCAGGAAGAAGAAGAGTAAGGAGCAGCCAGCAGTCTGTTTGGAGGGCTATACCAGGAGGCTGAGATCATCCTCTCGAGGACAGTCTGCTGTGGCTGCAGAGGCAAACTCTCAAGCAGGCACCTTACAGAAACAGCCTCGGGAAGGAGTTCAGAGAGAGGCTGAGGCTCCTCAGAGCAGGGGGAAGCCACGGGCATGGGCTAGGGCATGGGCAGCTGCCTTGGAGAAGACCGAGTCTGAGAACTTAGAGAGAAATGCAGGACAGGGTAGTCCTGCTGAAGAAGGTGCTCTAGACCTCTACCCTGAGCTAGCTGATACCAGCCAAGCCAACCCCATTCTCTTACTAAATGACTCTGCTCAGGCTGACCCCATGCCCATTGACTCTGTTGAAGCTGATGCCGCTGCATTTGGCCATGCAGTAGCTGATTGTATACCTGTTGGCCAGGCTTCAGCTAGTACAGAGCTGGCTGGTCCTCTCCCTGTAGCCCCAGTGCTGACTGGCCCCATCCTGGCTGACAGGACAGGAATTGAACCTGTGGTAGCTGTTGCCACTTCAGATAACTTGTCTCCAGCTGATGCTATCCCAGCTAACACAGTGGCAGTTGACCCTATTCCAAATGACCTGGCTCCAGTGGACCCTGTGCTAGTTAAGTGCAGACCAACCGACCCTAGACGGGCTGCAGTTGCAGCAGCTCAGGGCAATCGTCTTTCTCTAGAGTCCTCAGACCATCCCAGGGTCATCACTCCTGAAGTCAAGAGTGTTGTAGGTCCTGCCAAGGTGGAAGGTAGCACCAGTGCTACAAGCCAAGAAGCCCGACCTCGGCCTCTCAGCCTGTCTGAGTACCGGCAGCGAAGGCAGCAACGGCAAACAGAGGCAGAAGGCAGGAATTCTCAGCCCCCAGTTGGCAAGTGGCCTAGTCTCCCAGAGACCCCCACAAGACTGGCAGATATCCCTTGTCTTGTTCCACCAGCCCCAGCCAAGAAGGCCGCTCCACAGCGGAGCTCCGTAGCTATACCAGAGACGTGTTTGGTGTCTGTGGGTGGCAGCTCTGCTTCCCCTAGTCCTGAGCCATCTGCAAGCAGACCTATGGTTTCAACTCACTCTGAACAGGTGCCATCGCATGAGATGCCACTTCCAGTTAGACCGCCCCCTCCTGCCTTGCAGTCTGTGTCTTCTGCTGGGCCCATCCCTCCCACAGTGCCCACTCCTTTGCCGTTTCCTCCAGGCATACCTCCTGTGCTTTCTCTTCCTTCAAGTGGCCATGGGGTCCCCAGTCTGCCCCCACCTTCCTTGCAACCGCCTGGACTTAGAGTGTCAATGAGACAGATACCACCTGACCCCTACACTCACTATGCCCCTGTGCCACCCTGGCCTTGTTATCCCTCTGTGTCCCCTTCTGGATATCCTTGTCTTCCTCCACAACCAACGGTGCCCATGGTGTCTGGTACTCCTGGTACCTATGCTGTACCCCCAACTTGCAATGTGCCTTGGGTACCCCCTCCTGCCCCGGTCTCACCCTACAGCTCCAGCTGTGCCTATGGGCCCCTAGGGTGGGGCCCGGGGCTGCAACAGCCTCCCTTCTGGTCTACTGTGTCTCCACCTCCTTTGTCTTCAGCCTCCACTGGAAGAGCTGTGGAACCCAGTAGTAATCCAGCTGGTCCTGAAGACACTCTTCCTGTGCCAGTGACTTCTTCCCCAAGTTCTGGGTCAGCCAGCCCCATAGCTCCACCTCCTCCTCCACCACCAATAGAGCCTGCAAAGCTGGAGGATCAGCCAGTCCGGATAGAGCCTGCAAAGCTGGAGGATCAGCCAATCCGGATAGAGCCTGGAAAGCTGGAGGATCAGCCAATCCGGATAGAGCCTGGAAAACTGGAGGATCAGCCAATCCGGATAGAGCTTACAAAGCTGGAGGATCAGCCAATCCGGATAGAGCCTACAAAGCTGGAGGCTCAGCCAATCCTGATAGAGCCTACAAAGCTGGAGGCTCAGCCAATCCGGATAGAGCCTACAAAGCTGGAGGTTCAGCCAGTGCCGATAGAGCCTGCAAAGCTGGAGGTTCAGCCAGTGCCTGTGTCTCCCCAACCAAAACCCAAAGTGTCTGCCCTGGTACAAAATCCCCAGATCAAGGCTTCACCGTGCCTGTCTGCTGTTGGGGAGTCTGTGTCAGAGAAGCTAAAACCTGAGGCGCAGGAGAACAGAACGAGGGAGAAGCCCCTTTCTGCAGCTGTCAAGGCTGTTCCCTTGCCCAGGCAGAACACTGTCGCAAAACTGCCTGCTGTCCATCCAGCCCGTCTAAGGAAGCTGTCCTTCCTGCCCACTCCACGGTCTCAGGGTCCTGAGGATGTGGTACAGGCATTCATCAGTGAGATTGGTGAGTGACGAAGGTGGCTAGGAAGACAACTTCCATGAGGCCATCCTTGTTGGGTCTCTGTGGTGTTCTCTGAGAAATGGAGCTCCGGTTGTGTTTGAGTCCTTGCTACGTGCTGCTCTGTGGTTCACTCACTTTGGATAGGGAGGCACGTAAAGGGAGACCTGTGAACTTGGTTAATGAGGGCTAGATTTTAATCCTCTTGTATTTCTTCACAGGAATCGAAGCATCAGACCTGTCCAGTCTGTTGGAGCAGTTTGAGAAATCAGAAGGTAAGGGACCTAGGATTTTTTTTGTTCCAACTTTTATTTTTGTTCACACTTCCTTTGAGTTTATAGCCTTGTAGTAGCTTGAACTGGGTTAGAGGGTAGAGGGCAATCTCAACCACCAGAAGAACCTCTTAATTGGTTTAGGGAGGCAACATTTCCCCTGGGAGGTAATCTAAGTCAGGGACATGGTGGTATAGCATAAGTAATTAAAAAAGGAGATAAAGAAAATGCAGGGAGATTGATTGGGTGGGGATTTTTCCTAGAGGTAAGCAACTCTTCTGTCGAGCTTCAAGAGATGGGATCTCATGTTATGTGTGTGGTATGTAAGGCAGAAAGGTATAGGCTGGGTCCTCAAAGGTGCTTTTGGAAGGCAATGAAGAGTTTGACTTTCTCAAGACAAGGCTGGCTGCTGTAGATGTTACTGCAGTCTCTTCTAGAGTCATTAATGCTATAATTGTGGCAAAAGATCTGCACAGGTGACTTGAGTCAGTAATACTATAAAAGCAAAGAGACCGGTAGGCTCCGTGTTTGAGATGTAGTTTCATGGGAGAACCCATGCTTAATCTGTCCGTGGTCTTGGATTCATTTGTTAGACAAGTCTGTTATCAAGTATAGCGTGTGCCTTTGATCCCAGCACTGGGAAGCAGATCTCTGAGCTCATGGCCAGCCTGTGTTTATATGGTGAGTTTCAGGCCTGCTGGGCTATGTAGAGAGACTGTTTCAGTTTATGGCTAGGATATTAGTTAGGCAGATCATGTTGAACCTTGCCTACTATGTCCATCGATTTGGGCTTTGACTCAGAATCAGTGGGGAGTGGTTCTTTCTGAGCAGAAAAATATCAATATCTAGCTAGCACTGGAGGAACTGGATCTGAGCTCATTGGGGGATGTGTAGGCAAAGCTGGTGTCCTGGGCATCAGAAAACACTTCTTTGCCACCTCAGTTTGGAACATCTGGTTGGGCTTTTAACTAATATGATTTCTTTACAGCCAAAAAGGAGTGTCCTCTCCCGGCTCCTGCTGACAGCTTGGCTGTAGGAAACTCAGGGTAAGTATGGAGATGTGAGCGAGTTACCCTACAGCTGTTGGTCAGCAGCCAGCCAGCACTCCAGGACTTCCAACTGGACACCTTTGTGGCAGGGATGGTCCATCGACTTTAGTGTCTTCCCCCATTTCTGTCCCCTGCTCTGTTCCGTCAAGACAGTCATGGGTGATGAGGTGGGGGAGGGTATGTATGTACTATTAGGAATTCCAACTGCCTTTGAGGTGCCTCTTATAATTTGGCAAAGGATATCTTCTGGGTTTCTTCCCTTCTGTTGTCAGATTTGAAGCTTATTCAGTGCTGGTGATGGGGTCACTTAAAGTAGGGGGAAATATCTGGGGCTTCCCCTAACTCCTTGAAGGACACAGGCACCTGAACCTCTTTACTTCCCAGCATTCTAACAACAAGAGGCCTCATTTTTCACATTCCTGATCTGCTAAGCATGTTCTTCATCCACTGATTTCACTTGGAGTTAGTTGAGCTTGATAGACAAGGTTACTGATTGAAGGAGGTGGGAGGACTTGGGGTCATTTCACTGAAGGTCCTAGTCGGCCTGCCTCCTGAAATTTGGCAGAATTGAATAGGCCCAATCTCCAGCTTAGTCACTGTCCCTGCTGTGCTAGAGGACAACTATGGGGCAGTTTGGACATCTTGTTTATGTCTACATACACCTTCTCATTGCTTTGTGAGGAAAGCAGATATACAAGATATTGAGGCAATGAACCGGGCTCTCCCTTTTCCCCCTTGCCAGCAGCATTGACACTCCCCAGGAGAAGAGACCCCTAGACCGGTTACAAGCCCCAGAACTGGCCAACGTGGCAGGTGGGTTCAGGTTGAAGTCTGGCTCTTGGTCTGTGCAGCTCGTGTACAGTGCCTGCTGCTGTACATCAGTGTGTGTAGACATTGGGCACAGACATCTGATCTCCGTTGTTGTGTTCCTGATCAAGGGGGCAGATGTGTTAACAAATGAGCGTGTTGGTTATCAAAGGTGATGCTATGCAATAGGCTATGAGGGGCAGTGGGGAGGGGTGTGTAGAATGTTATCACTAGCTGAGCTTGAGAACATCATTGCTGTCAGTCAGATGGTAGCTTTTAGGGAAATGGAGCAGCCTGACTAACTACAGAAGCAACTAGTTGTTACGTTTGCAGCACTGTGAGTGGTTTGGTTTGACCTGGAGAGTAGGGGCTGAATGGGGTAGTGGACAGAGCAAAAGCAAGAGTTAGGGCTCGAGTGATTAAACAGGTCAGATTATGGAACTTGAATGCTATATCAAGCTGCCTGGACTTCATTCTGTATATGTATTGAAGAAAACAATTGTAAAAGCAGTCTCAGACTGGTTTTTGGATGGTTTGTGTAGTAAAAGTCTAGATAACAGGGTATGGAGCTGGAAGGGAAGTAGGTAAGTTTATGGCATGAATGTAGGCAAGATGCAACCTAGACATTAGGTAATGCTAGGTGGAGGGCTGGATGTAAGTATGAAAATGATTAGGTAAATGAGCTAGAACTGGTTACTAGGTAGGTTTGGGTAGTTGAGTGGCTGAACTCTTGTAGTTAGAGCAGTGAGAGAAGTTGGGGTGTTGTTGGTGCTTAGCGTACTCTGAGAAGCGGGGTCTCGAGCCTAGATACACAGAGTCTGGAGTAGAGAACTGGATCTCACCCTGCTATCTCCACCCTCCCTCCCTCCCCCACAGGGCTCACCCCTCCAGCTACCCCTCCCCACCAGTTATGGAAGCCCCTGGCTGCTGTCTCACTGCTGGCCAAAGCCAAATCTCCTAAATCTACCGCCCAGGAGGGAGCCCTGAAGCCTGAAGGAGTTACAGAGACCAAACACCCAGCTGCAGCCTGCTTCCAAGATGGGGTTCATGGCCCTAGTCCCGTCCATGTGGGCTCTGGGGACCATGACTATTGTGTCCGAAGCAGGACACCCCCAAAAAAGGTGCCTGCCCTAGTCATTCCAGAGGTGGGCTCCCGATGGAATGTCAAGCGCCATCAGGACATCACCATCAAACCTGTCTTGTCATTGGGCCCAGCTGCTCCCCTACTTCCATGCATAACTTCCCAGGAGCCACTTGATCACAGGACTAGCAATGAGCAGGCAGAGCCTTCAGCGCCTTGTCTTGCCCCATCCACCTTGCTGTCTCCTGAGGCCTCACCCTGCCGGAATGACATGAACACTAGGACTCCCTCTGAGCCCCCAGGCAAACAGCGGTCAATGCGCTGTTACCGAAAAGCCTGCAGATCAGTCAGCCCCCCAGGTCGGGGCTGGCAGGGCCGCCGTGGCCGCAGCAGCCGGTCTGTCAGCTCTGGGTCCAACCGGACCAGCGAAGCATCCTCATCTTCATCGGTGTCTTCCTCATCCCGATCCCGGTCCAGGTCCCTCTCCCCCCCCCACAAGAGGTGTCGAAGGTGAGCTTTGTTGGCCTGTTAGATTCTTTCCATTTGGGAAGTTCATGAACTCTGTTGTAGTTTACTTTGAAAAGGCTATGGGTTAACTGCTGTACTTTCAGTCATTAAGGCTGAAGGTTTTTCTTTGGCTCTTGTCTTCCTTTTTTGTAGACTGTTGAGGCAAACTGTGGGATTGTCCTGTGTTGGAGTCTGGGATATTCCTGAAGTTTTCTGCTTCCTTGAGATGTGCCTTGAGTAGACTGTTAGAGTTCAATCAAGACTGCTTAATACCATTATTATCGGTGCTCATATATAGTATTTCCTTGGTGTTAATGCAGGATAGTGGGTTACCCTTACGTGGCTGATGAGATGGTTCAGTAGATGCATGCTTGGACCTGAGAGTTTGATCTTGGGACCACATGGAGTAAGAGAAGCAATTCTTGGAAGTTGTCCTCTGGCCTCTGCATACGTGCTGTGGCACAACACACACAATAAATGTGAAAAGAAAAAGAATCCTTGCGGGCGACGCTGCAGCTGTAGCTCACAAGAGTGCCTGCCTAGCATGCGTGAAGCTGGATCTGATTCCCAGCGTCATGTAACCCACATGCATGTTACACGCTGTAATCCTAGCACTGAGGAGATGGGCGCAGAAGGATCACAAGTAATGAGTCGTGTCATGTATGTGGAAGGAAGGCCCTAGGTATAATTCTCAGTACCACAACTGAGAAGTATGCATGCTGGGAACAGTCGCACAATCCTAGTGCTGGAAAGGCAGAGGTAGTTCATTGCTAGCTTGGGCAACCTAGTGAGACCCCCTGCTCAAGGAAAAGGGAAATAAGCATGTCATATAAAACTGTAACAACACATAATGTATGCAAAGTTTTATGAAGGGTTTCCCATCTGGTGTCTGCGGAAGAAAACTTGAAGCCTTTCTGCTCTCCTTTAACCAGGGAGGCAAGGCTGAGCCTGGTCCAGGTAGTAGATCTTATCCACACCTTTTCCATCATTCCTGTCCTTTATTCCAGGTCTAGCTGCAGTTCCTCTGGACGTTCCAGAAGGTGTTCGTCCTCTTCGTCGTCTTCATCATCATCTTCCTCCTCTTCCTCATCATCTAGTTCCAGAAGCCGTTCTCCCTCTGTGTCCCCTCGGAGGAGAAGTGACCGAAGGCGGTGGTGAGCATGGGCATGTGTTGGAGGGCAGTGCACCTAGGATGCGTGCTTCTGAGAGTTCTGAGTCTTGAATTGTGTCTGGAGGCTGATGGCAACTCTCTTGTCAGGTACAGCTCTTACCGTTCGAATGACCATTACCAAAGGCAGAGGGTGCTGCAGAAGGAGCGTGCAATAGTGAGTAGAGACTTGAGTCGTGGAGGAGAGGTTTACCCTGTGCCAAGAGCTCAGTCATCCACAGCTGCAGCTCTGGCTCACAGAGTGTCTGTCCTTTATCCGACATAGGAAGAGAGAAGGGTGGTCTTCATTGGGAAAATACCTGGCCGCATGACTCGGTCAGAGCTGAAGCAGAGGTTCTCTGTTTTTGGAGAGATTGAGGAATGCACCATTCATTTTCGTGTCCAGGGGTAAGCTTGGGTTGTAAAGTTAGGATGTTCTTTCTGTTACACTCATATACCTTGATACTTGTCTGTCTTTCTTGTGTTCTTTTGTGCTGGGTTGTATGGGGTCACCTTCATTTTTTATCTGAGGGTTGACCATTGGGGAAATGACTAGAAGCACCTGTGTGCCCTGGGATGTCGAGTCTTCTTCATAACCTGTGTGCAAATGGCTCACCTTCCCCACTAGTGACAACTATGGTTTCGTCACTTACCGATATGCTGAGGAGGCATTTGCAGCCATTGAGAGTGGCCATAAGCTGCGGCAGGCAGATGAACAGCCCTTTGATCTCTGTTTTGGGGGCCGCAGGCAGTTCTGCAAGAGGAGTTACTCTGATCTTGGTGAGTGTGTAAGGAGGGCTTGAGGCCTTGACATACGTCATCCCCTCCCCAGAAGGGCAAAGCCGGATGACTTGCCGTCTGACATACAAGGAGCCTACAGGGTGGGGTCAGAGGGGTGGCTCTCCCACGCCTTCACAAGCAAGGCGGTTTTACTGTCTGCTGCTTGGATGGGCCGTGGTTCCCTTTGAAAGCTCTGTGCTTGACAAGTGTGGTATGGTACCATAATGTTTGTTCCTCTCTGCTCTGTAGACTCCAATCGGGAAGACTTTGATCCTGCCCCTGTGAAGAGCAAATTTGATTCTCTTGACTTTGATACGTTGTTGAAACAAGCCCAGAAGAACCTGAGGAGGTAACCCTGGGCACTCCTCCCCCACCCATCTTCTCTGGAGGTGCCCAACCTCCTTCACCCCCCTCCCCCAGTCTAGGGGGAGAGCTGCTAGTGTGGAAATGACTGTTTTATAAAGAAATTGGAAAAAGTTAAATAAAAAATGTGTTAAACTGGGATTTTTAAGTGTTATTTGTTGTTGTTTTTTAATAACAGGATTTGAGAAAATTAACTTGCATTTGTGTGTAAGGTGGGTCTGAGGGAATGTCTGATAACATGAACAATAGAGAGCTCCCATGTGGTTTTCCTTCCGTCTGCTAGTCAAGTGTATTCAGTACGTTTCTGAACGCATTTGGGGTCATGCTTACCTTCGCTGAGTTCCTAGGACCCCTCTGGTTAGTGTAAAATCACACTGGATTTAACTTCTGCTTCTCAGATCTGTCACATACAATAAGTCAAAGGGGAGGAACACTTCTCAGACTTCAAAGACAGTGTATTTTGGCTGTTTGTATCCTATCCTCTAGAACACTAGCTGAAGAGGACCTAAGTGCTGGGATTACAGGCATGTCTTAGTACATCTGGTTTATTGAAATGGTGCTGTGACTTGAACCGAGAACTTTATGTTAGGCAAGCATTCTACCAACTGGACTTTATCCTCAGCCCTATTTTGTGTGTGGGTGTATGCTTGTATGGAGGCCTAGCTACTGCCCATTCAGCTTTTTTTAAAAAGTTTTTTTTTTTTTTAAATTATGTAACGTTCTGTCTGCATGTGTGCCTGCAGGCCAGAAGAGGGCACCAGATCTACAGATGTCTGTGAGACAACCTTGTGGTTGCTGGGAATTGAACTCAGGACCTTTGGAAGAGCAGTCAGTGCTCTTAACCACTGAGCCATGTCTACAGTCCCCATTCAGCTTTTTAATAAGCTAATCAGAGTGGTATTTCTTCACAGCGTGCAACAATATTACTCCACAACATGGCTTGGCCAGTAAACCCAAGGAATCCTGTCTCCACTCCGTCACCTGGCAGTCTGCATTTTATGCAGTCTCAGGACTCGCTCAGCCTTTTTTAGACACCAAATCGCACATAGTTCTTTATTATTGCAGTGCTCTGGTTTGAGTCCAGGATCTTATACAGGGGTAAGCAAGAGCTGGCCAGTGGTAGTGCAGCCAGCCAGTGATTGGCAGCATGCAGGAGGCAGAGGCAGGTGCATCTCAGTGACTTCTAGGCCAATCTGGCCTTCAGGGTGAGGACAGCCAGGAGTGTTTCACAGAGAAACCCTGCCTCAGAAGAAGTGTGTGTGTGTGTGTGTGTGTGTGTGTGTACATATATATATGTTAATGTGTGGAGGTGTGAACCCTTTATGGACGCCAGAGATCGACGTCAACTGTCTTTCCACCCTTTTTTTTTTTGAGACACCTTGCTATGCAGCTTTCCTGATTCTCCATATGTAGACCAGGCTGGCCTTGAGCTCACAGAAATCTGCTTATTTCTGCTGAGATTAAAGATGAGTGTGAACACACCCATTTTAAGATTATGTTTGGCTGGCTGATGGTAGAAGACAACTTTAATCAGGAGACAGAGGCAGGCAGTCTCTGGTCTAGATAGAGAGTTTCAGGATAGCCAGAGAAACCCCCAAAAAAAAGGTATTCTTTTGAAATGCCTTATCCTGTGTTTTGAGTGTGCACATGTACCCGTTGGTACTGCAAAGGCCAGAAGAGGGTATGGGATCCCCTAGAACTAGACTCCCAGGTGGTTGTGAGCTTCCTGATCCAAATTCAGCCTCTGGTAGAGCAGTGAATCCTAACAATTGAGCAATCTCTCGAGCGCCCTCTCATTTATTTTTTGTTTTTCAAGACAGGGTTTCTTTATTGCTTTGGAGCCTGCCCTGGTATTAGCTCTGTAGACCAGGCTGGCCTCGAACTCACAGAAGTCTGCCTGCCTCTGCCTCCCAAGTGCTGGAACTAGAGGTGTATGCCACCAACTCTGCTCCTCACCTTATTTTTGAGACAAGATCTCTTACTGTAGTATAGCCAGTTAGCTCCAGGGTCATCTGTATACCAGCCCTGGGGCAGCTGCTGCACCAGCTTTCATACCAGTGGCAAGGATCTGAACTCAGGCTTGTACAGTTCACCTACACACAGCCTTCTATCTAGTCCCTTTCTAAGTTTTGTAGAGCTGCTGAGGCTGGACTGAAATCCCTGTCCACCTGTCTTTTCTCCTGTGTGGCTATTACAGGTGAGAGCTACTTGTCCTGTGCTAACAGATCGTTTTGGAACACAGATGCTGACTTGGAATGGATATCCAGTATTTGAAATTTGGGGAAAAGTGGTCTAACACATGGTTTCTCTTTGTTAAACCAAGCTGGCCTCAAATGCCTTTGTCTCCCCAGCCCTGGGTGTTAGAGTCATTTGCCACATAGGAGAAACTTGTTGAAAACAAAAGTTATCGACACTGGGGCTTGCGTCAGTTAAGTTTCTCAGTGCTTGCCATCTGCTTGAAAGATTCTGTTTGGAACTCCTTCTGTAGACCAGGCAGGCTGTCCTTGAACTCACAGAGATACACCTGCCTCTGCCTCCCCTAAAGTGGGATTAAAGGTGGGTGTTACCTTGCCTGGCAGATTTTTTTTTTTTTTTTAGTGCACTTAAATGGAAAGAACCACCTCTGGGAAAGAGGGAGTTCTCAGGAGAAAGGCACGCCTGTTTTGAGGGAAGTAAAAGAATGGTGTCCACAGGAAATGGCTCTTTATTGCTTCCTGAGGGATGACTAGACTAATGTAACATAAAAGCTGGCTGATAGTAGAGTTATGACAATTCCATGTGACTCTGGTTTAGGGAAACTGTTATTTTTAGCACTAATAAGAGTGTATCGCTGTTTAATTCAAGTTTCATGCATGATCCCTTTCTCCCTTGGAATTGTGTGGGGGAAGTATAAATATCTTGTAACCTAAGTATGATTGAGAGACAGTTTGGGGTGTCAACACCACTGTCGCCACAATAAGCCATTTTTCAGGACCCTCTTATGATTAGAGCCCGGACAGGGTGGTATCACAGGGAGTGAAGGTGAAGAGCGGGAAAGAAGCCATCGGCGGCGGGAAGGTGAGCAGTAGGTGACACCCGTGGGAAGGTGAGAGCCGGGAGTACTGCAGGCCACCCATTATGGTGGGGTATGACTCTCAGCCGGGGATGGGAAGACTACTGTTAGAACAAAACCCAACACAGATACCGCGCGGGAAGTCGCAGGTTTTCCCGCCACAGACAGGCGCGTGACCTGTGACGCCAAAGCTCCGCCTTCGTAATGGGCGGCCCGCGGGCTCCGCCCTTAGCAGGATGGCGAAGCACGTGAGACCGGAAGGAGCCTCCGCGGCGGACCCCAACGCTTCCGCTGCGCGCCGCGCGACGTGATGACGACATCGGACCCGCCCCCTGGCCTGGTCGTGCTTCGGAGTTCGTAGGTCGTGCAGCGTGCGCGACGGTAGTGACGCGTTTTACCGGGAGTATGGCGGATACCGGCTTGCGCCGCGTGGTTCCAAGCGACCTTTATCCCCTCGTGCTCCGCTTTCTGCGTGATAACCAACTCTCGGAGGTGGCCAATAAATTTGCAAAGGCGACAGGCGCTGTGAGTCCTGGGTTTGGTTCGCGGACCGGGGTGGGACGACTCTCCAAGAATCTAGGCCTTGACATGCTTAGGAGTCCAGGAGGAAAGGTCTGGGCTCCGTCAGCCCAGTGCCCTCGAAGCCTTCCGGTCACCTCTGAAAGCTTGAGGCCTCACATCTCTTCCCACCATGTCTGACTAGTGAGCCTTACTGCTTTTACTCGATGAGTTTTGCAGCGGCGGCAGGCGTGAGTCCCGCGTGGCCCGGGTCATGTGGCTGACAGCATGCGATGAGAAGCAAGCGCTAGGTCCTACAGGTAGCTTTGGATTGGCGGTGCCTGGGTCTTCTGGTGTACTTTTTTGTTGGTCGCAATTTAGCTTGAGACTCTGAAGATGAATTCTTCAGTAATGAAGGCTGATTTTATCTATTTTTGCAAAAGAAAAAAAATGAATGTGTGTGGAGAAAGGCTGCTTTCAGTATACTGTAGGAGGAGTGAGCATCCTGTCCTGCCAATTTTCACTGAGCCTGGAGCTCTAGGTAGTGAAATAAAACAAACAGGCTTCGGCCAGGCTCCGCGACTTTCTACATGCATGACCCCGTCTTTTGAGACAGGATGGCTTGTTTACCTAACTAATGCTGACAAAAAAGGCATGTAGTAATGTTCCTGAGCATAGCAGGATGTCATCTGATTTACATAATTTTTAGGCTTTCTCTGTGTAACCTGCCTATTTTGGAACTCTAGACCAGGCTGTTCTCACACTATCTGCTTCTGCCTCCCGAGTCCGTGCCCCAGCCTAATTTGCAGAGTTTGGGTGCATGAGATAGACAAAAAGAAGATGTACAATAATTCCATTGTACATACACACATGTTCAGGAAGCATGGGATGAGTGACAGCTATCTCGTCAGTTTGAACCCATGTAAGATCGAGATAAATGGAGGAATTTGCATGTTTAGAGTCTACATCTCAAGGCGAGCTGTAGTGTTCATGGAAACACAGACTGTAGACCTGTGGTCTTTTCCCACTGATGAAACCATGACTAAAAACTTAGGTTACTTTTGCTTTGCTTTTAATTTTGAGCCTGGAACTTATATGCAGACTAGACAGACCTCACAGGTATGCTCCTGCCTCGGGACTCCTGCACACTTGGTCTTCATGTTTTGTTTGTCTTCGCCCCTCTTAAACTCAGTCTGTCTGTCTCTGTCTCTCTGTCTCTTCTCTGTATAGCAACTCTGACTGCCTGAAACTTGCTTTGTAGACCAGGCTGGCCTTGAATTTAGGGAGATCAGACTTCTCTGCCTCCTGAGTTCTGGGATTAAGACCATCAGTTTGTTAAGCCTGCAATGGAGGATGTTAGTGCAGGTGCCTGCAGGCCAGAGGTGTCAGAAACCCTAGATCTGGAGTTAACAGGTAGTTGTGAGTCTTCTGGTGGGTGCTGCGAAATGAACTCAGGTTCTCTGGAATAGTAGTATGTTCTCTTAACCACTTAACCATCTCTCTAGCCCCTCAATTAATATTCTTTACCAGTATTTTAATTGCTGAAGTCTTTCTAAAGTTTGCAAGTAGGAAAATTTATGAAGATCTAACATCCATTTCAAATTGGGTAGGTAAGTAACAGATAACTTTTTTTCTCTTTTGAGGCAGGGGCTTCCTTCTACCTAGCCCTGACTGTTCCATAACTCTGAGTATAGGCTAGGTGGGCCTTGAACTCATAGGTCCTCACCACCTACCTCTGTGTTCTAGGTTCTGGGACTATAATTTGCTGACATATTATATTTGATGAAAGAATAACATTGAATCTGATCTATAGAATCATAAAATTTAACTCAGCCTCTTTTCTTGCAGACACAGCAGGATGCCAATGCCTCTTCTCTCTTGGACATCTATAGCTTCTGGCTCAAGTAAGCTTTCCTTGTTACACTTGGTCTATTTTCTCCCCCTAGGTGGGCTGGGCTGTGTTCCTTGGTTTGAGAAGGTCCCCATCCCTCAGAAGTCAGCCTAATCTACATCAGCAGGTCCACCAAAGCCCCCAAGCGGAAGTTGCAGTCAAATGGACCAGTGACCAAGAAGGCAAAGAAGGAGACTTCCTCCAGCGACAGCAGCGAGGATAGCAGTGAGGAAGAGGAAGAAGCCCAAGGACTTCCAGCAAAGAAGGCTGGTAAGGCATGCAGGGCTTGGGGCAGGGTTTCAGGAAGAGCATCTGACAGCGTGGTGATTCTCACGGGTCCCTGTCCTTCTATTCAGCTGTACCCGCCAAGCGAGCCAGTGTGCCTCAGCATGCTGGGAAGGCAGTAGCCAGAGCTTCGGAGAGCAGCAGCAGTGAAGAGTCCAGTGAGGAGGAGGAGGACAGCAAACAGAAACTGTCCGTCCAGGTGTGCAGCTTTGGTGGTAAAGAGGGCTGCAAGGGAATTGGGAAATGAAACTTAAACTGGGCATCCAGCTTACTGTCAGGATGATGGAAACTGTTCAGTATGGGATAAATTCTGGGGAGTTTTGAAGATGATAACGCTGAGATCCAGAATAATGGGATCCAAATGTAGGCAGAAATCACCTCTTCTACTCAAGGCCATGTGTTCTTCAGGGGTTCATGTAGGGCCTTGAAAATACAAGTGTTTTGTTGGGAGCTCTTGACAAGATTGTCAGAAACAGGCCAGTTTTATCAATTGGTTGGACATTTTTTCCCACTGTTTAGCTCTTCCTGAATTGTGTCTGACTTTTTTCTTGCCCTTTCAGTAGACATTTTGGGTGCCTTTTGAGTGCCCAGGTGCTCTTGCTGATTGCCCTCATGTATGATTTGTTTTGTGGGTTTTTGTTTGAGATGGGGTCTGTGTAGTTCTAGCTGTCCTGGAACTTTCTGTGTTGATTAAGCTGGCCTTGAACTCTGAGACCCACCTCTCTGCTGCGCTTACATGCTGAAATTAAAGCAATTTGCCACAATCTTTGTTTTGTTTTAGCAAAAGGCAGTTAAGCCCCAAGCCAAGGCAGTCAAAGCTCCTCCTAAGAAAGCCAAGAGCTCTGAATCTGAGTCTGACTCAAGCTCAGAGGATGAAGCACCACAGACCCAGAAGCTAAAGACAGCTACGACAGCCAAAACTCAGCCTAAAGCCTCAGCTAAACCAGGTACTTCTGTCCCGGTGGGGGCGGGGCAGGCTGGGACCAGTGTAAAATGTATGGTTGCTGAAGGTATTACTGGTATTCTTCGCTTCTCTTTAGCCAGGCATGGCTGTCAAGGTCTAAAATCTCACCTACCCAGAAAAGTGAAGCAGCAGGATTGAAAGTATAAGACAAGCCTAGAAAGTTTATCGAGATCCTACCTCAAAGTTTTAGGGAGAAATATAAAGCTGGGGATACGCAAGAGTGTGCAGAGTGCTCGCCTCCAATGTGTGAGGCCCTGGACACAGTTCTCAGGCGTGGTGTGTACCTGTAATCCTGGCAGTCAAATTAGGATTGCTCTAAATTCAAGGCCAGTGTACTTCACTTACCAAGTTCTGGGCCATCCAAAGAGTGAGAGAGAAACCAGAAACACGATTTAATAAATGTTTATGGCTGGGTCTGGCATATAAGAAAAGTGGTGATTTTGGCAAGAAAAACTTGATTTTTCGACTTTTGAGACAGGAGTTTTCTGTAACAGTTCTGGCTGTCCTGAATTTACTTTGTAGCCCAGGCTGGCCTTGAATTCAGAGAGATCTGCTTGCCTTTGCCTCCCAAGTTCTGGGTTTAAGGTGTGCGCCACCACCACTGGGCAAGAAAAACTTTTTAAAAATTTTCTTTCTGCTCAGCAACCCACACAACCCTTGAACTGATTGGTCTTCAGTCACAGGGCTGAGCAGCAATTAAATTCAAGGTCATCCTGTCTGATGGCTAGAATTACAGACATATTCATAATACCTAGAGGCAGAGTTGTATTACTTAAAAAAACTTGTAGCCTGGTGTAATAGGGCACACTTTTAATCTCTGTACTTGGGAGACAGAGGCAGGGAGATCTTTTAAGTTCCAGGACAGCCCGGCGATTACACGAAGAAACCCTGTCTTGAAAAACTAAGCAAAAAAGGATGTGTGAGTGTACTCAAGTGTATTCATGCCCATATGCATGCAGTGGCTCCAGAGGCCAAAGGAGGGCATCAGATCTAGAGGTAGAGCTAATAATGTAGGCTGTTGACGTGCTGATGTGGGTACTAGAAGAGCAGTAAATTCTTAGCTACTGAGCCATTTTCCCAGCCTTTCATCTAAATACCCAGGCTGCCCTTGAACTCAATCCTGCTTCTGCTTCCAAGTGCTAAGGGTGCGTGTGTGTGTGTGTGTGTGTGTGTTATGCATATTTGTTTGTTGGGTAAGATATAGTTCAAGTGGCCTTAGAACTTGTGATCCTCCTGTCTCAGGCTTTCATGTCTTGGGATTATTAGGCATTCCTTAGCTCAGCGTAGTGGTTGGTCAACTAATCTCAGAAACTCAGCAGAACCCCCAGGCTTTGTGTGTGATAAGTACTTCATTACCTCTGAGCAACACTCACAGCCTGGGTATTCTTTGCTGCTTTTACGCCATACAACAAATTGATTGTTTCGTCCTTATGGTGAGAGTTGGCTTGTGATTTACAAGATCTATGAGTAGAGATTGAAGAAAAAGACTTGAGAAAATGATGTATAAGTGGTTTATTGTACGTGTGGGTACATCTGTGTACATACCGCAGCATTCACTTGGAGCTTAAGAGGAAGGACAACTTGGGAAGAGTTGGTTATCTCTTTTTACCATTTAACTGGTAGGCTTCTAGTTCAGGTCATTAGGCTTGGTGAGAAGCACCTTCATCCAACGAGCGTTTTCATTAGATTTAAAATTGATGGAGACTCTTTTAAGTCCTGTGCTAACAGAACATTTTTTTGAGTCTTCCTATTTGTCTCTTTTGTCTGTTTTTGTTTTGTTTTACGAGACAGGGTTTCCCCGTGTAGCTTTGGCTATCCTGGAACTCTGTAGATCAGGCTGGCCTTGAATTCACAGAGATACACCTGTTTCTGCCTCCCAAGTGCTGGGATTAAAGGCATGCGCCACCACCATCTGGCTCGCCAATTTGTCGTAATATCACTTTGTTTCTCAGGTACACCAGCTAGAGCACAACCTAAAGTAGCCAATGGCAAAGCAGCCAGCAGCAGCAGCAGCAGCAGCAGCAGCGATGACTCTGAGGAGGAGGAGAAGTCAACAGCACCCCCCAAGAAGGTTAGGGTTGTAACTATCCGGGACGAAGTGAAGGGACTAGAGGGTGTACGTCTCTCCTCTGATAGAGTGGTGGTTTCGTTTTTTCTGAGTCAGGGTTTCTCTGTGTTGGGCTTGGCTGTCCTGGAACTAGCTATGTAGACACAAGAATCCACTTGTCTCTTCCTCCTCAGTGCTGGGGTCATAGTCCTAAACCACCACTACTGCCGGCCAGCCTAATAGAATTAATGTAAATTTTTCTCTCAGATGCAGACTATACCCAAAAAGCAAGTTGTGGCCAAGGTATCCGTAAAAGTAGCTGCCACCCCTACCCAGAAGAGTTCTAGCAGTGAGGAGTCTTCTAGTGAAGAGGAAGAGCAGAAGACACCCATGAAGAAAAAACCAGGTGATTAGACATGAAGCTGTATAACCCATCTGTAAAACTAAGTCCTCATAGCTCAGCAACTAGCTTCTTCCAGAAAGAGACCCTCCCCAAAAAAATACAAGAGCAAGAGGGAAGCCACAGTGCCTCATATAACCTAGACTCAGACACAGTTGGAAATGGCTTAATAATTCCAACCCACATTCTGCATAAAAGGGATAAGCCCCTTTCTGGATAGAGGGAATAAAGAATTTAAGTACTGGTCTGCCTGGATGGATGGCTTCCTTCCTTTCATTGTACATTTAATTTAATTTCAAATTTTGTTCATGTGTTACCCTGTATGTGTGAGAGACAGGGGTATGGAAGTATTAAGTTATGTTCCAGTATACTCCAGACACTTTCTAGGTCACAGTTCAAAATTCTTCAGTAAGGGTGTGGCTGGTTCACCAAGGATGGAAGCAACCAACCATGTGTAACCTCAAGGAAGATAAACCCAAATGGCAGCACCCGTTTAATACCCTGTATCCCAGTGAACCCTCTATTGATACCAGGCCTCTGAGATGGTCTATTTCCTTTTGTTTGAGTCCTGCCTGAACCTTTGGGTCATGATCCAGCAACTCCTGAGTTCTTGTCAAACCTACACAGTTTAAGGAAGGAAAATAAATAAACAAACAAATGGGGAAAAAAACAATTTAAGTACTTAATTGTGTGATGCTAGAGATTAACCCAGGGCTTTATGCGTGCTGTCAGGTTCTGTACTCAGAAGATACATCCTCAACCTGGTGGTGGTGCATGCCTTTAATCCCAGCACTTGGGAGTCAGAGGCAGATAGATCTATTTATTTTAATTATTTGCTTGCTCCGAGACAGGGTCTTACTGTATAGACTAGACTGGCCTGGAATTCTTAAAAATTTGTCTGCCTTGGGCTGGAGAGTTGGCTCAGTGATTAAGAGCACTGACTACTCTCCCAGAGGGTATGGGTTCAATTCCTAGCACCCACATGGCACTCATCTGTCTATAAGCACACACACAAAAAATACATGAAAACAAATTTAAAAAAAGAAAGAAAATCTCTGTCTCTGGAATGTTGACAGCACCCCCAAACCTATTTTATTTTTTTTGTTGTTTATTTGAAATGTTTTCCTCTGTAATCCAGAGTAGCCTCAAATTCTCAGTGATTTTTCTCTCTTAGCCTTATATTAGGATTACAGACATGAGCCATCATGCCTGGCAAATGCATCTTTCAAAACTATTCTACCTTTAAAATAGGTCCCTACAGTTCAGTCCCACCGCCTTCTGTTCCTTTGGCAAAGAAGTCCTTGGGAGCCCAGTCTCCAAAGAAAGCTGCCGCACAGAGACAGCCTGCAGAAAGCAGCGAGGACAGCAGCGATGAGTCTGGTGAGTCATGGGTGGGGTGAGGCTCTACAAGGAAGAGAGACGTACTCTCTGTACCTCTGTTGCCTTTGACTGAAGAGAGAAAGCTAAGGGATGGTGTATGTTGTTACATTATTTCTACTGCTCTCCGGGTTGGCTTGCAATACTGGACCCATCCTAATGTCATAAGTCCTCCCCAGATTCAAGTTCTGAGGAAGAAGAGAAGAAAGGCCCTGCTAAAGCGGTCCTCTCCAAGACCCCGGCCAAGGCAGCTCCCGCCAAAGCAGCGCCAGCAAAGAAGAAAGAGAGCTCTTCAGATAGTTCCGGTAATGCTGCCAGGGCCCTTGGGCCACTGGGATACTCATTGTTCTGGGTTGCTGTTACAAGATTTCCCCGAGTTTGATACATTCTGTCCCCTCTTAATCCAGATTCTGACAGTTCTGAGGATGAAGCTCCTGCCAAGCCAGTCAGTACCCCCAAGAATCCTGTAAGCAAGGCAGCTGTCACTCCCAAGCCATCTGTAGCTAAGACAGCTGTAACTCCTAAGCAACCAGCAGGCAGTGGCCAGAAACCCCAGACCAGAAAGGCTGACAGCAGCTCCAGCGAGGAGGCCAGCAGTTCCAGCGAGGAGGAGACAGCAAATAAACCCATGACAGCCCTCAAGCCCAAGGTGACTGCTAAAGCAGCACCATCCCTGCCCGCCAAACAGGCTCCTGGGGCTGCGGACAGCAGCTCCGACTCAGACAGTTCCAGCAGTGAGGAAGAGGAGAAGACGCCTAAGCCTCCAGCTAAGAAAAAGGCAAAGGGAGGCGGAACCCCTTCCAAACCAGCCTCTGTGAAGAAAGCAGCAGCCAAGAGCAGCAGCTCCTCAGAAAGTTCCAGTGAAGAGGAGGAGCCCAAGGGCAAGGGCAAGGGCATTGCTAAACCACAGGCCAGCAAGGCTAATGGCCCTCCAGCTTCTCAGAATGGAAAAGCAGGCAAGGAGAGTGAGGAAGAAGAGGAAGAGGAGGAGGAAGAGACGAAAAAGGCAGTTTCCAAGCCAGGTCTGTATCTGTAGAGCCACCTCCTGGGTTTGTCCTCCATTGCTGGGATGTACTCAGAGGGGACACTTGCCTCCTGAGCGCCAGTTGCAGATTTCCACCAGACTTGGCTTCTGAGTCTGCCTTTTTGTTTTGTCGGTTCAGGGAAGAAACAGAAGCAGAATGAGACAGCAGAGACGCCTCAAGCTAAGAAAGTTAAGGTCCAGACTCCTAACACATTTCCAAAAAGGAAGAAAGTACGTTGCTCCCCAGTGTTCTCAGAACCCAGCCCTTAAACCATAGAGAACACCCTGCGGTCACCTTGACAGTCTGGTCTGACACCGCAGCCTGTAAGAGAGCTGTTCAGTCACGTCTCATCTTCTGCTTCATTCTCTAGGCAGAGAAGAGGGCATCTTCCCCATTCCGAAGGGTCAGGGAGGAGGAGATTGAGGTGGACTCACGAGTAGCAGACAATTCCTTTGATGCTAAGGTGAGGCTTTGGCATTGTCTCATTGCCAAATGAGGGGGGGGGGTTGTTTGGTTTGCTTTATGGTTTTTTTGAGCCAGGGTTTCCCTGTGTTGTTTTGGAGTCTGTCCTGGAACTAGCTCTTATAGACCAGGCTGGCCTCGAACTCACAGAGATCCACCAGCCTCTGCCTCCCAAGTGCTGGGACTAAAGACGTGTACCACCAATGGCGGCTTGGTATTGTCTTCTGTGTATTAACTTTATTATTTCCCAGCGAGGTGCATCTGGAGACTGGGGTGAACGAGCCAATCAGGTTCTGAAGTTCACGAAAGGCAAGTCCTTCCGCCATGAAAAAACGAAGAAGAAGCGAGGCAGCTACCGGGGAGGCTCCATCTCTGTCCAGGTCAATTCTGTCAAGTTTGACAGCGAGTGACCTGTGGTCATGTTAGCGAAGGGAGGGTGATGATGGAAGGCCGGCCAGTCACCTCCAGTGGACTCAGAAACTGTTGTCAGAGGGTCTTGCAAGGACAGATTTGAGCAGGCCCTGGGGCTGTCATTGCAGTCTGCAGTCCTCCTATGTCCCTCTTTTGTATGGGTTTGTTTCTTGTCATTGCCTTCCTGCTCTGTGGGTCTTCATACCGAGAAGTTTGTATATTTTATATTAAATAATTTCATATAGATTTTGGTTGTGATTTCCAGAGATGAGTTTCACAGATGAGAGACCTAGCTATTGCCCAAGACGTAGCAGAACGTCACTTGGTAAGAGTTTTTCCCATTGGAGGGGTCTTCTCATGTGAGCGTACACATCCACATTTTAACCCACCTTCACTTAAAGACATGGTGGGCTAATGGTTGTGGGATTTGTCTTGTAAGAGTGCTCTGTGTCCATCATCATTCATTGGGTCTGAGACCAAAGCTTTCAGGAGCCAACATGATCTACCAACTTTTGGGGATAAAATTGCTGTTCTTGGAATATAACAGCCTATAAAATTGACAGGCAGTAGTTGGGCGATGGTGGCACATGCCTTTTTAATCCCAGCACTTGGGCAGAGGCAGGAGGATCTCTGGGTTCGAGGATAGCAGGGGCTACACAGAAACCCTGTGTCAGGGGTAAAATGATAGGCAGAATTCTCTGTGCGGTGAATGTAACTGTCTTGAGTATTTGGTTTCTAGTAACTATTACTATTATATGTTTACAGTACGTCTTAGTTTTAATTTCTAAGCAGGCTTTTCTGACATTGAAAGGCATTTTCAACAACTTGACCCTTACTGCTATGTGTACTAAATTCATGTGTATACTAAATTCATGCTTGTATTTGATTGTTTTTAATGTCACCAAGAACTGAATGACTTAATGCTTAATTACTTCTGTCTTGGTAACTGTGGTGACCCAAAGTTGGTGTGATTCATTCCTGCATGGTTGAAAATCACCCGACAAGGAAATGATTAATTAAAATCCTCAGCCCTCAATGTGAAGTAGGTTACAGTGGGTACATGACAGGAAACCAGTGATGAGAAATAGAACTTTGCAGAGGCAGGCTTGAGAACAGCAAGGTTGGAGGCTCTGAACAGGATGGTTTTGTCTTGAATGGTACATGGGGTTGATTATGTCTTGTTTAAGTTGGTGCTCTGGACTAATTGTTAGTACCTTATCATGGAGTTACTGATGGAGACTAGTCACGGGCTGGGAGGCATATCTAGGGGATAGTGATCCCTGGGCTAAGGAAGTAGATTATAAAGACATGGGATGTGACCATCGACAGAGCTCAGCCAGAGTGAGTGAGGGGAGCACCAGACTGGCCTGGTGAGAACAGACACCAGGTTCCACGCGTGAAATACCGGACGACTTGTTAAAAACTGGCTTTCTGTGGCAGTTCCTCAAGGAAGAAAATGTGCAGATGTCTGCATGGTCAGCTCTACGTCTTACTAGAGAACAATAAACTGGATGGTTTATAAATGTGTTCAAGAGTTTTATTTTTGTGAGTGTGAGGCCTCGTAGCTCTGTACACAGCAGAACAAGTAGGGGCCGGGGTGAGGATTTGTTTGTGAGTTCACTATGGAGGGTCCTTGGGCAGCAGTTTGCCTGCCAGTTCTTAGTTACACTTCTCATTCTCCGTGTCTCCCTCCTTTATTTTAAAGGTGGTGTCTACCATGCTTAGCTCTTATGCACATTTCATTTGGCAATTCACAAGATGGTCTGTAAACCAAGTCTACTATGCTACTTGTATTTGCATCATCTAGGGGCTAAATGATTTTTACATTAAATTGCCAGCACTTGGGAGTCAAAAGACAGGCTAGGATATAAAACAAGAACCAGGACAGTCATAAAAAAAACAAAAACAAAAAAAAAACTTTAGCTCGGTCAGCTTGGTCTGGAGAGTTCCAGGACAGGCTCCAAAGCTACAGAGAAATCCTGTTTCAGTGGTCCTCTGGAAGAGCAGTCAGTGCTCTGGACCACTGAGCCATCTTTCCAGCCCCTATAATTTTTTTTTTTTTTTTTTTTTCTTATTACTTATTGGGAGAAGTTAAAAGCAGTTGTTGCTTTTGCAGAGGACTGGGGTTCAATTCCCAGCACCGACATTACATGGTGGGTGGTTCGTAATTGTAACTTCAGTTCCAGAGGATCCAAATCCTCTTCTGATTTTGGGCACCAGGCATGAAGGTGGCACAAGTACATACATGCAGTCAGTATGTACTTGTGCACAAACTTTAAAATTTCTATTTATTTTGGTTTTTTAAGACAGGGTTTCTCTGTGTAATAGTTCTGGCTGTCCTGGAACTCAATGAGACCCACCTGCCTCTATCCTTCAAGTGCTGGGATTAAAGGAGGTGTGTGCCACCACCATCCAGCACAAACTTAATTTTAAAAAGCATTTGTGTATGTGTGTGTGGGGACACCACCATTGTACACATGTGGTCAGAAGTCAGTTTTCTCCTCCGTGTGAGTCCTGGTAATTGTACTCAGGTCCTCAGGCTCAGTGACAAAGTCGACTGGATCTAGCTGGGTGGTGGTGGCACACACCTTTAGTCCCAGCACTGGGGAGGCAGAGGCAGGCGGATCTCTTGAGTTCGAGGCCAGCCTGGTCTACAGAGCTAGTTCCGGGACAGGCTCTAAAGCAATATGGAGAAATCCTGTCTCAAAAGAAAAAACAACAAAACAAACAAACAAAAAAATCAACTGGATGTAGACACTTGGGTGGGAGGAAGAGACAGGCAGATCTCCAGAGTTCCAAGCCAGCCTACCCTCCGTAACCTACGTAGCAAGTTCTAGGACAGTTAGGGCTACACAGAGAAACCCTGCCAACAAAAACAACAAAAGGTCAGATCTCATGTACCCAGGCCTCAAGCTCTCAACTGTGGCTGAGAATGACCAAGAACTTTTTCTCTGAGTGCTGGGATTAGTGTGCCACCCACCACATTTTACGTGGTGCTGGACATCAAAGCTGAGGCCTCAAGAGTAGTAGGTTAGCACTCCAGCAGCTGAATCACATTCTCAGCCCTGGGATAATACTCTTGACTCAAACAGCTGCCAGGAAACTTGAACTGCGAGTGTTCAGAATTCCAGCTTTTTGAAGAACCTGCTTTCGATTCTGCAGTTACTGAAAAGGCCAATAGGTGGGGCTCTTGCTCCCTGCATAAGAATGGAAAGGCAACCACTCTGGCTTACGTGGCCATCTGTTACCTGAAAGCCATACAAGCAACATGGCTTGTAGAAGCCAGAACTCCTGGAATCCTACCCAAGTGAGGGGATAAAGAGGGAAAAGCACTATAAAGATAGTTATTGCCGGGCAGTGGTGGCACTCGCCTTTAATCCCAGCACTCAGAAGGCAGAGGCAAGCAGATCTCTGAATTTGGGGCTAGCCTGGTCTACAAAGAGTTCCAGGACAGCCACAGAAACTCAGTCTCCAAAACAACAAAAAAGTATAAGATAGGTCTAGAGGGTATTCTTGGTTGCCCTTAATGGATGCGTAAGAGTTGTGTTCAGGAAGTGAGAAAAATAGCTTTCAGGATATAAGCAATGTACTCTACCCTGATGGAGCAGTGATTTCAAATAAGCTGTATTTTTATGCTTGTTTTTGTACCTATACAATTTTTAAATTGGTATTTTCCATTTATCTTATTTTTTTTAAAGATTTATTTCATGTGTAAGTGCTTTATATGCATATACACCTTTATGCCAGAAGAGGGCATCAGATCCCACCATCAATGGTTGTGAGCCACCAAGTGGTTGCCAGGAGTTGAACTCAGGGCATGAACTCAGGACCTCAGGAAGAGCAGCCGGTGCTCCAGCCCCCACCCTTTCACCTTACCTTTGGTGACATGTTTTAGAGGAACATGAGCTCATTCCGTGACTGTTCCTACCCCAGTCAGCGCTCTCAGCATGGGAAGATGCAGCTGCTACAGTTTTCAGAAGGGCGTGGATTCCATAGGCACGGAGGTTGCCCACATGCCTCTGAACCCCCTGCCACCTCAGAATAAGCAGCAGTGATCTTAGGAGCCAGCACAGTTCAGTCACCTTGAAATTTCTCCTGGGTGTAGCTTCGCCACCGTTGCTGCTGCTGCTCCTTAGGGGCTCTAATCATTGGTGCTCGACCTTCCTAACACTGTGACCCTTTAATACAGTTCCTCATGTTGTGGTGACCCCCAACCATAAAGTTATTTTGTTGCTACTTCGTAACTGTAATTTTGCTACTGTTATGAATCATAATGTAAGTATCTGCACTGCTGTACAGGGACCAGGCATGATCTATGGGTATTCATTCACACGAGATGATGCTGTGTGCGTAGAACTTTTGGGGCCAGCTTCCACCACATCAGGTCCACCGACTGCATTTCTGGTTGCCAGGATGGCAATGCCCACAGAGAGTGGGGGAGAAACCATGCATCCATTGCGACCATCAGCACACTGGTGTAAGACGGCTCTGTGAGATGCTGGTAGCCAGCCTGGATCATTTACCACTAGAAGATGCAGCTCCTTGAGTCTGGTTCATGAAGGTCCCATGAGTGAAGTCAGTCAGACTGGCCCCAGTGGCTGGTGGCTGGTATTCCTGGAGGACAAAACAGTGACACCAGCAGGGGGCTCGGTGGCAACAACAGCCAAGCTGTGGGCAGAAGCTTCCCCAGGTTCTCTTCAGACTTTTGATGGAGGTGTGTTAGTAGTAAGGTTTTTCCTGCTGGCCGGTCTGGTCCCACTGCCACACCAGCCCCAAATAACACAGAGAGACTCTGTATTTGATATAATGCTGTTGGCCAGTTACTAGTTTCTTGTCTGCTGGCTCTGTCTTAAATATTAACCCATTTCTATTAATCTAAGTATTTCCACGTGGTCTTATCTTACCGGAGAGAGGGGCTGGCATTTTTCTCTCCATCCTCCATCTTGGATCTCCTCCCTACTCCTTCCTCTCTCCTCCTTGTCTCCTAGTCCCTCCTATCTTGCTTTCCTCTTGGCCAACAGTGCTTTATTCATTAATCAATATGAGAAACATATTTACAGAAGACATCTCCCATCAGAGGTGCCATCACTTTTCCTTTTGTAGCTATACTCCTCTATCAGGAAATCAAGATGGGTGCCAAGTAGGGGCGCCTGCCCTGTGGATTTGAAGACATCCTTCTAACTTTACTTGCATCCAGGGCTTCGAGCACTGAAAATTAAGTGGCCAAACAAGAACAGTGGCGTGATTCCCTCCCTGGGTGGCACAGAAAGTCTTCTGTTTTGTTCATTTTCTGTTTCCTGGGTCAAGTGAGATGAGATGAGGAGAGCCATAGAAAGGTTCTCCTCGTGAAACATGGAAAACCAAACCAGACCATGTTTACACCTTGGGTTGATTTTTTGACCTAGATATACAGAACCTAAAGGATGACAGCTCAGCTGAGATCTGGTTTTACTTTTTGGATAGCAGGTCTTGAAGCCAGCTTCAGCTGTCAAGTTTTAGAGTCTGTACATCGTTGCTTTTCATGACTAAGTCTCACACTTAGCTTGGGTCTCACTGATTCGTCCAGGTTGGCAGGCCAGCAAGCACCAGGGATTTACCTCCCCTTGCTGGGTTAGAAGTGCATGTTACCATTCTTGGGTCTCTAGGTAGCACTGGCTGCTGTGGAACTGGCTATGTAGACCAGGCTGGCATCTAATTCACAAAGATCTGCCTCCTTCTGGCTTCCAGAGTACTAGGATAAAAGGTGTGTGCCATCATACGCAGCAACTTTTTTTTTTTGAGACAGTGTCTCACATTGTACCCCAGCTTGCCATGGAACACATTATATAGGCATGTTGACCTGTAACTTTATATATATATATATATATATATATATATATATATATATATATATTCTTATTTTATATATTGAGACCTATAACTTGTGAGACTTTCTGCCTCAGCCTCCTCAGTGCTGGAATTATTGGTGTCAGCAACCATGCCCAGCTCTCTTACTTTTTGTTTTGTTTTTTGCTGGGGGGAAATGGTCTTACTACATAGCCCTGGTTGGTCTGGAACTCACTATATAAATTATGCTGACCTCAAACTCATGATAATCTACTTGCTTCTGCCTCTTTAGTGCTGAGATGCATCACTATGCCTGGCAACAATTTATTTTAAAGATTTATTCATTTATTATGTATGCAGTGTTCTGTCTACATGTATCTTTGCTGGTCAGAAGAGGGCACCAGGTCTCACTATAGATGGTTTTGAGCCACCATGTGGTTTACTCACTGAGTCGTCTTTCTGACGCTCCATTTTCTCATTCCTAATACCTTGGGGTGTACATAGCAAATTGAAAAAAAAAAAGATTAAAAACTAACAAGAAGCCAGGCAGTGGTGGTGCATGCCTTTAATCCCTGCACTCTGGAGGCAGAGTTAGGAGGATCTCTGAGTTTGAGGCCAGTCAGGTCTACAGAATGAGTTCGAGGACATCTAGAGCTGTTATACAGAGAAACCCTGTCTGGAGACTCTAAAAAGCAAAATGA